TCTCACTTGAAAGAGGTCTCACCCTCTTTCCTGAGGGTGCAGGGCTGACAAGGCAGGGAGACCTGGCTCATTTGGGGAAACGCTTTTTGAGTGGGGGCTTCTTTACAACACCCACAGCCCATCATAGTGACCCCCTAATTGAGCTCGAGTCTCCCTGTTACCCTCACCTGAAGAAAGGAATCAGACCAAGGCCCTCAGGTAGATGTGACTCCAGGGGTCTAGAAATCAGTGGATGTCATATCCAGAGATGTGCCCTGTGTCTCACTGCAGAAGTAGAATTTGACTGTGCAGGTCTCCTCTGTACTCTCTAGTTTGATCACCTTGGTTTCCAGCAGAGCCTAAGCCCTAGTTCTGCCCACCTCTTTCAGCTTCCCTCCATCTTCAGGAGCCCCTGCAGCGGCAGCCATGAGAATGGAGAGAGTAGTCAGGCTGACATTGCTGCCCAGGGTCTGCAGTTCTGACTTCCAGGGCCAGGCTGAAGAGCCCAGGTTTGTAGTGACCTCCCCAAGGTCAGTCAAGGTCAACCACACAATCCTTTAGGGTCTATTCACCAGCCAGATGCAGCTCTGCCCACACTTTCCTTCTAAAAGATTGGTGTTAAGAGGGAAGAAAGAAGTTGAGCACGGGAATGGGTGAGCCTTGCTTCTGTGAAGTGATCTAAGTTTTCATAGTCCAGGGTGTGATGTCAGCCTTTCAAAGACATTGAGAGTCAAGAGGTTACTTTACATCTCTACCAAATGTCTCTTTGAATTTTACATGAGTAGAAAGGCATAGAGTGTATACCTGGACTATAGTTACATATAGGTACATACAAATATGTACACATGTGTTTTTCATGTTATATGTCAAGTGGATTTGTGTTTTATGTATATATTTATACTAATTCATTTGTATATGATGTAGGAACACTATATATGTTTATTTGATTAAAACTATCTCTGATTATATGCACAATTAACTTTTTATTACTATTCTCATTCTAGTGTATTCTTTATATTGTACTTATTGCCTTTTATACATATTTTTTATATTTTTATGACGTTAAAGAAACAAAATGAAAATAAACCATCCATTTCTCATTGCTTCCTAACACACCACTCTTATCATTGCATTTGTGTGAAACTTTATAAAACAGTGTAATTTTATAAACAAAAGAACAGAGTAGGAATAAAATTTTAAAAAAGGATTGTCTCTTGTTAAGCCAACCACAAATTTGTGGTTCAATCTGAATAATATTTTTTCAAAAGTTGATTTCCCATGTTTTTACTTTTGTAAATTTATCACATTTAATTAATAAAAAAAATCTAAAGTTCTTAATATGCAGAGAAACACTAAGGAAAATAATATTTGATATAGATACTAATAATAAACTACTTAAAATAAATAAAATTTAGTGGTTTGTACTGTTATTTGACATGTGTTTTTTATCATCATTGAATTTATTGGTACTTTTTAGGTATACAGTACAGTTACAAATTTTATTAAAATAGCGATGGTCGTGAAGGCCAGTTCTGGTCCACTAGGGTGGGTTCAGGTGGTTATTAGCTCATTCTCCGTGGCCATGCTGTCTCCTTTCTCCTGCTGTCTGAGGTTAGCCATACGTCAGTGGTATATTCACACACACACACACACACACACACACACACACAAGGTTTTTGTTCATTTGAAAATAATATCTAGCTTGTCTTGTAATATGTTCTGTGCTCCACTAGATATTGTTATGAACTGAATTTTATCCTCTAGGACCAAATTCAAATATTGGTCCCCTTGTAGGCATTCAAATTGTGATTGTGTTTAGCCATAATTTTTTTTTAATTTAATTTATTGGTACATTCTAGGTAGGTAGACAGTACAGTTACATTCATCATTGGGATCTTGTACCTTTACATGCCAGGTCTTGGTGCTCCACTAGATATTGTTATGAACTGAATTTTATCCTCTAGGACCAAATTCAAATATTGGTCCCCTTGTAGGCATTCAAATTGTGATTGTGTTTAGCCATAATTTTTTTTTAATTTAATTTATTGGTACATTCTAGGTAGGTAGACAGTACAGTTACATTCATCATTGGGATCTTGTACCTTTACATGCCAGGTCTTGGTTCTCTTAACCTTTGGTTCTTTTCTTCCTATTTGCTAGTTGTCCCATTAGGATCTTGAGTACTATTTTAGTTTTTCACACCAGAGATACTATTCGGTATCTGCATATGTGTGCCTTATTTATTTCACTTAGAAGTATATCCTCAAAATATACCCATTTAACTATGAATGAATCTACTTTCTCATTCTTTAGGTCTGAGTAGTATTCCATTTTATAGAAAAACCACATCTTCTTTATCCAGTTTCCAACTGATGGGCAGATGTAGCCATAGTTTTGTTTTCCTTCTCCCCCATTTTATTGTATGAGTACATGCTGTCATTGCATGCAGTTTACAGTCATCTTGGTGGGTTACATGTACATACAACACAGCTTGTTTCCTTTTTTAAATCCCCTTCACACCAGAAAGAATCGTAATCATCAAGAAATAAAAATAATAGATAACAAATGTTGGCATGGCTGTGGTGAAAAAGTTGTTGGAAATGTACACCAGTACAAACATGATTGAAATTAGAAATTCTATATGAACCAGCAGTCCCTCTTCTAGATATCATCCCTAAATAGTTAAAGACATACTATAGCAATGCATGTTTTCTATTTTTTATGGGACAACAATCCATAGTAGCTTAACCCTGGAAGCAGCCTGTATACTCATCAATAGATGACTGTACAAAAAATGTGGTATCTGAGAAGTTCCTAAGCCCTGTAGTCCTAAGGGTAGTCATCTATAAAATGGACCCAACACACAAGTTTGGTTGTAGGACTAGTGAAATATAAGAAGTGTATTAAAACACAGAATTTGTGACATAGAGTGAATAATTGCTGATAAGAAGCTGGTTCTAGTATTATCTTAGCCCAGACACTGTCATTCTCTGTCTGGAAAAAATGCGCATATGTTTCCCAGGGAAGCTGTAGCTCAAGAAGAAACTGAATATGAAACCAGGCAAAATGTTATTCAGTAATCATTTTCCCCAGTATCTGATCTCCAAGAGGATGTATTCCTTGATTAGATGCTAGAGAGTCTTTACCTTCTGGGACCTACTAATTCAAACTTCCTGGGTTTTGAGTGAGCAGCCATATTCCCTTCCCTGCAAGCTTCCTTTCCATTGGAACAACTACATTTGTTTTGTGCTTTTTTTTTTTTTTTGCTTGTTT